CCGTACCACATTACCTTGCACATCGCAGTACGGTGAAAGATCTGGTTCTAACTGCATAGGTACTAAATTAAGTCAATGAGAAGACTTGTCAGACAAAAGATGTTGCAATTCTGGGTCCTGTTTCTGACATTCAACAATGGCGGAGAAATCTGTTGTTGATGGCAACTGAACCTCTTCAATTCTGGACAGAGCATCAGCATCTGTATTTTAAGGGCCTTCTATATGCCTAAAATCGGTTGTAAACTGCGCTATGTAATCAAGATGACGAATTTGCCTGGGAGAAGCCTTGTCAGGCTTTTGTCGAAAAGTGAAAATTAGCGGCTTGTGGTCGGTATAGATAGAAAACACACGACCTTCTACCATATGATAAAAATGTTTAACAGCCTCATACACACTAAGAAGTTCGCGGTCGTACGTGCTGTATTTTGATTGCGCTGCAGAAAATTTTTCCGAGAAGAAAGCCAGAGGCTTCCATGCTCCGTCTACCAGTTGCTGCAAAACCGCACCCATGGCCGTATTAGACGCGTCAACAATTAATGCTAAAGGGTGCTTAGAAGGATAGCTAAGAGCTGTTGCCGACGCTAAATCATTCTTACATTGTACAAAGGCTGTACAGGCATCATCAGATCAAATAAGTGGCCGCGTATCTTTCTTTTTACTCCCAACCAAATATGTGTGCAAAGGTGCCTGCTTTTCAGTGGCATGAGGAAGAAAGCGACGATAAAAATTTAACATGGCCAGAAAATGACGCAGCTCCTGAACAGTTTTTGGCTCTGGGAAATTTTGAATTGCAGTGACTCTGTCACTAAGTGGGCGAACGCCCTCCGAAGAAACTTCGTGACCAAGAAATGACACTTTAGATTTTCCGAAAACACATTTTGATGTATTAATGACTACACCATAAGACTGAAATCGGCCAAGGACTATGCAAAGGTGTTCAAGGTGCTGGTTTCAGTTGTCGAGGCTACCAGAATGTCATCGAAATATGGGACACAAAAATCTAAATCTCGAAGGACTTCATTAATGAAGCGTTGAAACGTTTGCGCAGCGTTGCATAACCCGAAAGTCATGACAGGAAATTCGAATATTCCAAAATGTATTATTACAGCAGTTTTTGGTATATCAGGTGGATTGACAGTGATCTGATGGTAAGCACGAGTCAAATCTAACGTAGAAAAAATATTTTTGCCTTCCAAGACTTGCATGCAGTCATGAATATGAGGAACCGGATATCTATTAGGCAAAGTAACTGAATTAAGACGTCGATAATCCCCACAAGGACGCCAGTCACCGTTTTTCTTTGGGACCATGTAGAGGAGTGGACTGGCCCATGAACTTTTAGATGGTCGACAGATTCCTTGCTCAAGCATGTATTTAGATTCTTCTTTTGCAGCCTTTAATTTCTCTGGAGGCAACCGCCGTGGTTTGGCAAAGATTGGTGGTCCAGTAGTCTCTATGACGTGTACAATACCGTGGTCATCAGTCGGTTTGCCAGTTACTGAGCGGATGATGTTAGGGTATTGCTCAAGTAGTTTGTGGAAAGGAGAATTACCGGAAATTAATTTAACTCCAAAATTAGTGGCATTTCCAATGCTACCTACCGCGAACAATTGTGTGATGGAGTAGAGTAAGCGTCGATTTTTAATGTCGACCAACAGAGAAAATTTTTGCAGAAAGTCTGCACCAATTATTGGGTGTGAAACCGCAGTGATGACAAATGGCCATTGAAATTTGCGATGCAATCCTAGATCCAAAGACATTAATATTTCTCCATATGTTGCAATTTTTGACCCGTTAGCTGCAAATAAGTTAAATTTTCCAGGTGGCCATTTGGATTCGGCAGAAGAGGAGGTACAACCGAAATGTCAGCACCTGTATCAACAAGAAAACGTCTGCCTGATGGTTTATCTGTTACGAACAATTGACTAATGCACGGGCCGTTGTCACTCATGGCTTCGAGTGACGGCCCCTTCAGTTTAAAGAGGTCTTCTGAAATTTGCATAAAGGTGTACACTTGCACGCTTTATCACCGAATCGGCTGTGATAGAAACAAATGTCTGATTGAGTACCAGAATGAGCACGTTGATATTCCCTATTATTTCGGTTCCGGGACTTTGATCTACAGCGCTGATGATACTGAGATAGTGTTTGTAAGGCTGTGACCTGCAATGATAATTCCTGGATTTGTTGTTGAAGAGATGAAATATCAACGCTAGGATGCTGAACTTGACTGATTGCTTGTGGTTGGAGAACATCATGAATTTTGTCTGCCAGTTGGGGTAGGTTCTCGTTACTGGAGGCAAGAATAGCTTGGATATTGTTCGGAAGACAATTGAGCCACAATGATTGTAAAACATTGAACTTAAAATTGTCACCCGCAAGCTCCTGCATTTTTGACAATAACTGGGATGGTCGCATATCATCAAGTTGCAAATCTTGTAATAACTGCTTTAGTTTGGTGTTTTCGGACTCCTCATAAACTGAAATTAATTTTTTTTTTCAATTCCTCGTATTTATTATCTGAGGGGGGCTTCAGAACAATCTCGCGTACTGACTGAAGAACCTCAGTGTCGAGGGCGGAAATCGCAGTATAAAATTTCATGTCGTTGCGTGTTAATACCCCCCCCCCCGAGCTTGAATTGTGCATCTAATTGAAAAAACCAAAGATTGGGGTCACTACGGCAAAATGGGGCAGGTGTGTGATCAAAAGAATAAAAGTCCAAAAGAAATAACATCACCTTCGGTTTCACAGCAACGCGAGCCATTTGTTTGTCATCAGTGGCTAGAGGATTGCTGGTAGCCATAATAAATATGAATAAATACAGATAACAACAAAAAAAGAAAGATATAGTTCAAGAATATTGTTGCAGTACATGTGAAGAAACACAAAATAATTAATGTTAGGACCTGGGTTCAAATGAATATAGGAAAAAACTCACCCGCATGACGAATACATACGAATCCATGTGCGGAATAAAAGGTAGAAAATATCACCTTGATGTACAGAAATTATCCACTCGCTTGATGTTGGAACACTATCACTAATGGAAGATGAAGGTAATCCGCATGTCTGAAAGATGATCATAAATGGAAACATGAAGGTAATCCATGTGGCTGTAATATAATGAAACTGATGCGCGATCCAATAGACACGATAAGTAATCCAATACACATAAGTAAAAAATATTGGTTCAGCTGCATTTCGCACATTATTACAAGGTCTTGTTTAAGCACAAAATTTCTGCTGTGCTATAAATTTCGACGATTCATTTGGCTTAAGCCTCACTGTCCTGAAGTCACCATTTGTTGCACGTATTGCGGCTGTGTGCAACAACAAACTATGCGTATTGGAATTTACCAGTGCTTTTAAGGATGAATTCATAACATGCCATAAGAGCCAATTTTTGATAACAAAAACATTTAATCACATCACAATATTAAAACTTAATTACTACAGTTGACAGACAATCACGTTGGAGGAAAGCGAGCGACCAACCGCACCGATGATGAGACGTGACTGTGTGTCGCCGAAATCACCTTCGGTTACAGTTAGTGATAACGGCGCGCGGTTGGTGAGTACAACACATGTTTACAGAGTTGCCACAGTATATTAAAATTAAAAATCTGATTTCTGAGATTTTAAAAGAATGTAAAAGTCCAAAAAAAATAACAATTTACCAAATTATCAAAGAAATCCTCAACCCATCAACTAAGAAACTGGTTCTGAGAATGAATTGTAACATATCTGAAAGTAAATTCACAGTTTTGTCAAATAGTGAATCTGGGGGTTGGGAAATGAAGCCTGAATTTATGTATTATGGGATAATAAGGGGAAAAAAAGGTGAAATTCTAGCATAATTTATAAGAAATGATTACAAAAATCAAAATATAGTTTGCTATGCAGTCAAAATAAATTTAAGCAGGTTAAAAATTTATGGCATTTTGATTTTTTAAAAAAAGAGGATTTTTTAAAAGAAATGAGAAATATTCCTGATATCCAGAAGGAAAACTATGAAATTTCACATGCAGCCAGTCCATTCACTGTTAATTTGAATTCACATTTAACGAGCTGCATTCAGCAGCTCTTGGTTGTCTTGTAGATCTGATTTTTTTATAATTCAAGTCAGTTCACTAATTGCAACAGTGCAGTTTCCCTTAGAAAGTCCTCCACAAAGGCATCCCTCCCCTTAGGCAGATAGCCCTTGTGTGCTTTGACATAATTAAATACACACCACCAAATTGCAACAGTGTAAAACACAGTATTACTTTAATAGTTTTTTTAATTGTACTTTATCTGTACTATACATTTAATCCATAACAGCTTATTTATTATCATGTAATGTGTATGTTATTCACATTGTGCTAAAATGACTAAAATATGAGACATCTTTGTACAGTAAAATGATTTGCAGATTTCTTTTATTTTTATCTAAATTTTCAAGACTAAATTTTCTATTCCCTTTCTTTTTGGCTTTCATTTTATGTAAATAGGTTTTTGATTTTGATCTCTTCACTTCTTATTTTAGGTTTGCAATTGGTTGTTGTCTTTTAACAGAATATAATAATAAAAACAAATGTTTGCATGAAGAATTCTTTGTAGAATAATTAACTTTGCTTATCGGCATTTTTTTCTATCATTTTGCACAATACATTAATTAAATTGATCTTAAATTTTTCTTTTAATTTATGGTACTAATTGCAAAAACCAATTTATAATGCAGTTTTATCATATACTTCCAAGCTTTTTTTACTGAAAACTGTGTTTAAGGTGTAAAAAGAACTGTAATTAAGAACTGTGTTTAAGGTGTAAAAAGAACTGTAATTCAGAGTCTTATTTCCATTTAAACCATTCTAATCACTAAACCTCTGGGAACTTCTTTAATATCATAGTCATTTGTGCATTCAATCTTCGAAATGCATTTGACTGATTTATATATATATATATATGTTTATATGGAAGTTAAAAAATAAATAAATATTAATTTTCCTTTAATTCTCAGATTTAAAGTAAATCTCCAGTGTGGAGAGGCTGAAGATTCGGGAGTGGCCTTGCATTTCAATCCCAGATGGGATTCTGATGGTGGACCTGTGCTAGTTCTCAACTCGCTGGATGATGGTGCTTGGGGAGAGGAAATTCGTGAGCCTAATGTTGTTCCACTCGATTCTGAAATTGAAATTTACATTTTGTGTACAGATTCTGGTTATGCCGTCCTTTTGAATGGTGATGTGGCAGTTGCTTCTTTTCCACATCGTATGGATGCTAGTAGAGTATCACATGTTGAAGTTGATGGCTGCTTTGCAGTATCTCGTTTAATGGCTCCCTAAAATGGACTTTCTGTTGTATATCTAAAAGTTGAAAATCTCTTTTCAGTCATTCTGTATCATGCTTTGTTTGCTAGTGTTTTTAGTTTGTAGTCAGTAAATGCTTTATAGTATTTCTCAAAGCACTTTTTTTGTATGTAGGGAAATGAAATTACAAACCCATCTTGATATTAACCACTGTTGTAATATCTTAATTGTTTTTAATAATATGTAAGGTATTTAAAAAATGTAAAACACATGTTCTGTGGCCTTATCTTCCTTTTCTTCAATACTGATAAATCTATTGGGTTTATTTTTGAAATTTATTTCAACTGCAGGTTTACCATAAGAAAAACTGAACTTACAATAATCAGGTTTGCCCGAAGATGAAAATTTTAAAGTCAAAATCATGTTAAATCTTGTTTGAAATTATACTTTTGGAAGAGATTATCAGCAGTACATGAATTTTTAAATTGCAAATAATGATTTTGGCTGCTTTCATCATGCCACTTTATACAGAATATAGCCATACACACTGTGATTTCAAATTTAATTGCTGTTTTAAAATTATTCTATATTAAAGGAAAATGTATCTATAATTTGTTACTTACAGCATGTAAAAGCAGAAGGAGCATAAGTTTATTAAAATTTTGGTTGGTAGCTCATGTTAACCCATGTTATTGAAATCCTACATTTTGTATATTTTATATGAATATGGCCATCATGCACAAAAAATGTCACTGTGATTTTTTTATTTCAAAGGGATCAATTTATCCAACACTTAGCTATAATCTGTATCTTTAATAACTTATAAACAGAAACAAGTTATCTGTATTTTTGTTTCAAGAATAGTTTCAGAACCTAGCTTTGCATTCCTTCATGAGAGGAAAAATTGCTGTGTCTGTAACTTACGCTTTTGCAAGTATGTTTTAAGAGAATGGCCTTGCTGTGCCTAAGTGCAAAATAATATGAAATACTACTTCATATATGAAAAGAAATGTCTTGAAAATTGTGATGATGTGTGCCTAAAGCTTTCAAAATAAATATTATTATTGTGGTGCCTTTTTAGAATACTGAATGTAGTATTTTTATATTTATTTTGTGCCGTATATACTTTTTTTTCGGTTTCAACTTAAAAAATATGTAGATTGTGCAAACATGAAGTTTATTGAAATAAAACTTAACATATTTGATTTGCGCCTTCTTGTTCTGTTGTCAAATGTTTTATAGAGTTGAAATACACCAATAAGAGTTCATTCAAAACAGAAATATAAATATTTGAATTTTTAGTGACACCCTTTTAAATCTGTATGGAAATATATAACAGAAAAATTTTGAGAACTATATGGTTTTAAACATAATATATACTATATTTAGAATATCAAATTAAGCAGATGATGATTTAGCAGATGCTATTGAACTTATGCCATAAATATAATTAGTGTGATACTTTAAGGAAAAAATGAATTATTAGTCAATCTGCCCCATAAAGTTTTAACAAGTGTGTTATAAAACTTTGTAATATTGATACAAATAAAACATAAAATTTTGTATATGTTTCATACCAGCTTTATGAACTGTAAACTTTTATTAATGAAAAATCGTATTAACTGTAATCGTAAATTAACTGTAAACTTTTATTAATTAAATTTTGTATATGTTTCATACCAGCTTTATGAACTGTAAACTTTTATTAATGAAAAATATAAAACCTTTGCCGTAAAGCTTTTGTTACCATCTCTTTTGGCTGATCAGATAGCATTAGTGATATTGTCTGTATAGATATTTAATCACAATTAAGTTGATTGCTTTTTTATTTTTGGATTTTATTTTATTTATGTTTTATTTGATGTGCCATTAAAAGGCACTACAGGTTATTAGTGAATTTCAATAAAACCGCTCAGTGAAAGAAAAATAAGCTTGGTTATAATTGATAATGTGTAATGTAATACAAGCCTGTCATTTCAGAGAAATTTACACTTCACTGATTTCGACAGAATGCAGACAGAACCAGGACCATTAAAATGCTTTTTGTGCCCAATGTTTTAAAGAGACATCTCTTTATTAAAACGCTATCAGAATTACAGACAACTGATTTGTTTTCAAGTGAAGGCAGATGCTAAGTGATACGTTAGGTTATATAGTCATCCTGTGCAACATATCTATTTAATCTTAATGCATTTTATACTCTTAAATTATAAAAACAAATATACAGAAAATGTATTTTGAAGCACATACATAATATTAAGAATAACATATAAATTAATATTTTAATTCTTACAAATAATGTTATGAATTTAAATACATAAAGGCTATACTAATTAATTCACCAAAATTTCACACATAACTTTAAAAATAAAATGCAGTGTAAAAAATTATTTTTATTGAATAAGTTTATATTTAAATTGATATAATTAATGCACTAAAAGGAAAAAAAAATAAATTATATAGTTTAATGGGGAAAACAGATAATAAAAGCAAGGGGTGCCCATGATATATAAAAATAGATGATGGATTTATACATTTTGAAATGCAGTGAAATAAACAAAATTTTAAGATTACATACATAAGCTTATACATTTGACAGTGCAATTAAGTTAACAGATTTCGTTATTTAGGTGCCTTGTATTATTCATGATATAAAATTATGGATGAATTGTGTAAATAGAGTTGTTTATTCCATTAATATTATTATGTTCTCATTAAGCTACATGATAAATTATTTTTCTCCTTTTAGGGCATTAATGCACATATCTGTTTTAAATAAAAGCTTATTGTATAAAAACATTTTCTGTTAATTGTATTTTATTTTCTGTTTTTAGTCTCACTTAGACATTATCAATGAAGAAATTTTTAGTAATTATTAAAAAAAAAAAAAAACAAGAACTAATTCATGATATAAAGAAAAATTATTGAACATCGGTCAGAGAATGAAGAAATCAATTTGAATATTCAGTTTCGAAAATTAGATGTAATAATAATGCTACAAGTATTTTACTTTAGAAGTGAGTATCACGAATTTGTGATTAATTTTGCTGAGCTGGTAAACTCAAGAGCAATTTCTCCTTGAGAAATGTTTCTTTCTCTCATGTACTTCAAGCTGTAATACATTTTCAAAACAATCTAGAAAATCAGTCAATTCATATTTTTTACCATTCTCATTATGAAAGAGGGTGAGTTTAATCAAGTTTGATTTATAATCTGTGAAACTTCACATCCTGTATTTTTTTAGATGTTGAAATTTTAAAATTATAAACATTAGTCTAAAAAAATGTATTGATTTTAAAAAATTTAAAGTATAAATTTTAATACAAGTTTCATTGAACACATTTTTTCTGCTCTATTATTTACATTAATCATTAAATGCGTGAAAAATATGCACGAAAAATTGTGTAAACATTAATAAATAAAATTTTGAAAAAATTGTCTCACCACACTGCACTGTTATTGACAACAGGGTGTATACAAAATTTCAAGTCAATAGCTTAGCAGGAAGCGGGTTCAAACCGCTGACAAAAAATTCCACTCACAGTGAAACACTGTGATTGAACTAAAGGAAAACTCATAAAAAAAGTACTTTTATGAACCTTAATAGCTTATGGTTTCTTTAAAATTTACTTTTAATGCATACTGACATATTTTAATTATACAGGGTGTCCAAGAATTATCTTTACAACTTTAATAACACCTAAAATAAAATTTAAAAAATATTTACATTCTGTTTTCCGCAATTATTAGTGCAACTTCTCAAGTTTTATTTTTCCTGTTCATGGGTATGCCTCAACATATGCACTATTTGTGGCCCTAAGCACATCCAGTCTGTATTCAATTTCCTGTCAGGTTGCTGTAACATTTCGTCTGTGACAATGGTAAAAGCATCTGTAATGTGGTGTATCAAGTCAGCACAGTAACCTGTGTCTGGTAAATAGCATCCTTTAAATAACCCCACAGAAAGAAGTCAAGGGCTGTGATGTCCGAAAATCTTGGTGGCCATGGAATTGGGCCACCCTGTCCAATCCATCCTTTGTGAAGTTTTCGTGTAGGTGATCATGGACTGCTTCTAAACCAGTGTGATGGAACACCATCCTATTGGAGCTAAACATTGGGGTGCAAATCCTCCAACTGAGGAAGAGCAAAGAATTGAAGCATGTCCAGGTAAATGCTAGATAAAAATGTTGAGCAGATACATGAAGCATTCCTGTGCAATTCGAAAAATTCAATTCGTTTGGCTGCTAGACAACTCCAAATATCCAGATCCGGAGTCCGCATGGTACTTCACCAAATGGTTATGTCTCTGTCTATAAGGTACAGTGTTTGCAGGCATTGTTACCAACAGATAAAACGTGCAGAGTTTGCCATAGAGATGTTGCACCTAATTGATGAAGATGAAGGGTTCTTGAAACAGGTGGTGCTTTAGTAATGAGGCAATATTTCATGTGTCTGGCCAGTTAAACTACCATAAAGTACAAATTTGGTGTTCAAAAACCCCACATGAAACACTAGGGATTGAAAAACATTTCCAAAATTTAATATCTGGTGTGGTCTGATGCTCAAACAAACTATTGGGCCTTTTTTCTTCATCGAAAAACAGTTCCAGCTCTTTTCATATGCAACACAGAACCTGCGGTCATGAAGCGTGTTATGGCATGGATGGTGGGTCCCTTTGAAATTTTTTTCAGAGAACCTGTGTGTCGCATTAGTTCTCTATGAACCATGCCACACATTCTGTTTTCTCCTGTGGGGTGCACATGCTTGCTTACAACTGGCTAGCTTAAACAGGGAAAAAAAAAAAAAAAACTTGATGAATTGCACTAATAACGGCAGAAAACAGAATGTAGCTATCTTTTTTTTTATCCTAGAAGTTTCTAAAGTTATAAAGATAATTCTTGGACACCCTGTAGTATTAAATCTAAATTCTTGATACAACAGTCAATCATACATATCAAATTTTAAAGAAATTTCTTTTCTAGAAAATCCTTTATTTTTCTGGCATCTTAACCATTTTCAAAATAAGTAGCTTAAAAATTCTAGCAATTTTTTAAAACTAATTTTTTTTTTTTCAAATGCAGTATCAAATAATCAAGAGTTTTAAAGCTCAAAGGTTTTAGAATGTGGTTATTCACTAAAGAAATACATATTTAAAAAAAAGTAGAGGTTAAATGTAAATTGTCAGTTTGCTAAGTAAAATTTTTTTCTCCGCACCAGGTTGAAAATTAATGCCTAGTTATAAATGAAAATAGCCCCAAAATGACACTTTTACAAAATTTGTGTTTAATTTGAGACATAGAATTGAACTGTAGGAAAAATAAACTTGTCATTTCTGAAAAAATTTCAATATCAAGTCAAAACAAGCATATTGGAATAATGATATATAACAAATATTTTTAGTTACCCAGCTGCGGTAAGATAGCTTCCCTGCAATGCATGGTTAGGGTTGCCGGATTTGGCTACAAAATTCGCAATATGCCATGTACAGAGCGAGAACATTCTAGAACGAATTCGTACCAGTTTTCCTTTGGAATGTTCTCAAAGGCAAGTTAAAAGCTGTATAAACCCTGCCTGTAGGCGGAATAGCAGTTTATCTTGAGTAGTAGTAGAGCATGTTGAGTTCAGCAGTAGTTACCGTTTTGAGATTAGCTTTAGAGCAGTCAAACCGAGTTGGTGGCTGTAGGTTAGTGCTTTGCCGTTATATCCTGAAGGCTGAGTTGCTGATTGTTTCAACGTGTTTATTGTAGTCTTTTTTATGACTGTAAAAGTTTGGAACTGCCCTGAGTAATACTGGCAAATAAATTGTATTTTGTATTAAAGTACAATTTATTTTTAATACAAGAAAATTGTATTAAAAATAAATTGTATTTATTCTTCATCAAGTGTTGTCATCAATCACTCCAAATCCACGAACCTGTAGAATGCAATATATATATATATATATAAATATTTATAATAAGTTGAGCTTTCAAGTTTTTTTTTTTTTTTTTTTTTTTTTTTTTTTTGTTTTTTTTGTTTTTTTTTTTTTTTTTTTTTTTTTTTTTTTTTTTTTTTTTTTGTTTTTTTTTTTTTTCAAATGAATAATACCATTTCAAGTTTATTAACTGGTCAACTAGAATAGAAGATACAAAAGTAAACCCCACTCTTTTTTGGATTCAGTTGTATCTAAAAGCCGCCAAACTAATGTCCCTATGCAAATTCAGAAGTCA